CAAGTTAACTGGTCCGGAATATGTATTTTCCGGACCAGTTAACTTGCAAAAATCATTTGACGACCTTCCCGATCGAATTTTGAGCTGAAATTTGGTATGGACAAACTAGATTTGATGAAGAACATGCTCAAAAAATTTCATCAAAAAATTCCACCGGGAACCGCCCCAAACGGCGGAGTTCGGACGGCACTTCCCGTCCCTCCGGCTGGACCTGATCACTTCTCTATATATATGTATGTATGTATATATATATATATACACACACACAGTAGAAATCTAAGAATCGTTCCAGATCTGCATATTTGTTTTCTTCTTACAGTAAACTTTAAGATACTTAAAAAATGGTTTCAAAAGTTAATTTGGCCTCTGTTTTTAGCAACTCCTCTAATGCAAACTGATATTGGGATTTATTTGTAATTGTTTACATTTTTTGTGCTTTAATTGATTTCTGTGTCGGTATAGTACAAAAATGTCATACACGTATGGATTGTGTATCTCGTATGCTTGTGGATAAGATCTGTAAAATTATACAGAGTATGCTTTAAAAGCCATCAAAGAGAAAATTTCTATTTCAAGGGACAAACTCTCTCTGTTTTTCAAGTAATAATATTTTTATATAAACTGCTAAAGATATATTTTAAACATTTGAGTAAACCATAAATTTTATAAATCTCTGGATTCTGTTTTTTAGCATAGCGAAAACAGAACTTCAATTTAAATAGCTTCTATGCACTTTTAACATAATATTTTATTTAATAAATATGATATATTATTTATATTATATGTAATCATTCTAATTATTTTGTTAAACAAACGTATATATGAACCACACTTTCATATATACATATAAGCAATTTGTGTATACATATTTATACTATTTCAGTTTTAGAGTTTTATCAGTCTAAAACATAATCTAAAACATTTTCACCATTTCTCGTTTGAAGTAATTTATACTACATGCACTACTGAAATTCTGAAAAAGAGTCTGCATTGATATATCCTTTTCCAAATGATTAAATTTGAGTAGTACATTGTATGACAAACATGTCTTCACATTACTTGAATGCCAGAATATATACTTTTTTCCTAATTTTTTTTATTGGTAATACATGTAAGAGGATGAATGCAGCTAGATCAAGTAGGAATGTGGTGTAGTTTTCATAGTTCGGTAGTTATCAAGGACCATAAAGTTTGTTATACCAAACACTCCAAGTTCATTTATTTTCTACTTGTGAACTTTTCACTACACCATGGAGCCAACTCCCCTGTGAAAAACATTTGAATGTTAAGATACAATTAAAACTGATGATATCTGTGTGCCTATCAAACTGTTAGAAAGTATACAAAAGAATAGTAAACCATAAATGAACATTACTAAAAAAATACATGAAATTAGTGCTGGACTCGGGCCGGGCGGCCCGAACCGGAACCGGCCTGGCCCGGTTACTGTGTGAACCGGCCCGGCCCGGTGGCCCGGTTTACCGGCGGTTCGGGTCGAACCGGCCCGGTGGATACCGGTTCCGGGCCCGGGCCCTCTATTTGGTGAACCGGCCCGGCCGGTTCGGGCCCGGTCCGGACCGGAATAATTTTTTTTTTAATTTTTTTTTTTGAAATTTTTTTAATTTTTGGGTTGGATTAGGTATTTTGGGCCATTTGAGGTGGTTTGGGGTGGTTTGGGGTTGAGGGGGAGGGGTAGGGGGTTAAATAAGAGAAGCCAAAAAAAAATGGTGCGGGTGAACCGGCCCGGAACCGGCCCGGTCTGGGCCAGAACCGGCCCGGAACCGGTCACCTGCCGGTTCGGGCCCGGGCCCTCCTTTTGGTGAACCGAGGCCCGGGCGGTTCAAGGCCCGAACCGGGCCCGGCCCGAACCGAGTCCAGCCCTATATGAAATTATATTTGCGTAATTTTAAAGCTTAGAATATACCTCTTCATAATGGGAACAATATTCCCGTATTTGATGAACTCATCTGAATCTCTCTATTGCCAAGTAGTTTGGATGTGGTGTGCTGTTAAGTTGCTAACTCAAGTGGTATTGATAAGAACAAAAAAAATAAAATCAACGGGTTGAACCGTTGCCCAGATAATCAACGATAAATAAATACCGTTGCCCAGAGCCAAAAGACTAAACCAACTTTTATTCCTAGATCATCAAGAATGAAGCATACAAGGGGTATAAATAACCTTCTAGGTCTAATAAAAATAGGAATCCTTATTAAATTATTCTAGGAAACTAAATGGAATAGGAAACCTCCACTTTTAATAGAACTCCTAATTAAATCATTCTAGGAAACTAAATAGAAATAGGAAACCTCTAATTCTAATAAGATTAGAAGTCCTAAATAAATCGTATTAGAAAACAAATTAAATCAGGAAACAAAATAAAAGGAATAATAAATATTAATTAAACAGCCCGCAACCAGCCCACGGAGGTAGGCTCAAGCCCGTAACCGGCCCACAGAAGTAGGCCCAAGCCCGGTCCCGCCCCATGCTCTTCCCGCTTCATATCAATCCATCCTCCTTCAAATTAACCTTGTCCTCAAGGCTGAAAACTCGCGGATCGGGAACTGAAATTTCCAGACATAGTATAGACTGGAAAATATTCTTCGCCGGTAATTTCACAGAAGTCATGCTGCTTGAGGTCCAACTCTTCATCCTCCTCGTCTATCATTACCCGCAGCTGCTTAAAGGGACAATCATGCCTCGGCGTAAATGGTTTCTTGCACCTAAAGCATAATCCTTTTGCCCTCAAATCTGCTAACTCTTTTGGCGCAAGACGAGTGAACTGAGATCGTGTCGTAGGCTGCCCAGACAGGCCTGACTTCGTCCCCGGAGGCTGTCCACTATCTTTCGCAAAGCTGCCCCCTGAGCCCTGTAAGCTACCACCAGTGGCAGTCAACGGGGGACCCGTGTTTGCCCTTACAAAACTGCTCGAACGTACCCCTGAAGAATGATAATTCAGGCTGCCACTTTCTCCACTTTGGATGGACAGATTATGCTCTATATCGCGAGCTAATTCCATAGCTGTTTCCAGGTTTTCTGGCCGAAGTAATCGCAACGAACTTCAGATTGTTTCCTTAAGCCCACTCATGTAATATCCCAAGTAATGATCGTCAGTTAATCCGGGTACTTGACTAGCCAGTTACTCAAACAAAGTATTGTAATCTTCCACTTGCCCAATTTGTTTGACGCCGGACAGCCATTCAAATATGTTTCCCTGATACCGGGAATCAAATCTAGCCACCAAGGCTTGCGTGAATTCTTCCCAGGACATGTTAGGTTTGCGCCCCTTCAACGAAGTTACCCAATATAGGGCAGCCCCTTCCATAGCCACCGTAGTTGCGACCACTTTCCTGCCCGGTAGGTTTTGTTGAGTTCAAATTGTTGTCAATAGGCCAACCGACCCGGTGGTATAGCGGTCCGGGCTCGGGCCCTATAAGTGATGAACCGGCCCGGCCTGTCCGGGCCTGGTCCGGGCCATAACGGCTGCTTTATTAAAAAAAAATTGAATAAAAAAGGCCTCCTAGCCATTGGGACTATTCCCAAACGGCTCTATAGCCGTTGGAGGCCTAGGAGGGGGGGTCCGGGGGGTTTGGGGGTGGGGATACCAAAAAATACTATTTATACTCATATTTTCTATACCTTTTTTACATCATCTTCATACAATCCTACTCTCTAATTCTCTATTCTCTCATACTCAATAATTCAAATACTCAATCATCTCCATCTTCTCCAATTCTCTCTTCATATATATTATTTATATAATTATTATTATTATATCTACTTTTTTTTAAACAGATAACTTAATCATTAATGACGTCAAGAACCAAGTACAAACTCGTCATATCAAAGGTTACACTAGGGTGAGACTCAGAGCTGGAAACACGCTTATTAGCAGCCCATCTTGCTAACCCCGCAATGTGGTAGACACTAAGCACAATATTTCAATCTATATTCAACTACGTAGTACTCCGTATTAAAATTGCGACATGATCTTTGTAAAAATTTAAAACATCACATCAAAGTACTAATAAGTACGGAGTCATTAGAAAGCCATATAACATTTCAAAAGGAGATTTATTTTTACGCAAAGCAGTTGGTAGTCTATTGATAATGTGCACATCACTAAGAACACAATCAATAGATCAAACCAGGAAATTAAAGGTAAACAAGATTTGGAATAGAAGAGTTCTAGCAATTTCAAGATTATGTTGATGTTTTCTCTCAACTCTCCCATTTTGCTGAGGAGTTTCAACACAACTACACAAGATAGTTGATGAAAATACCATTAGAATTGTAAAAGGGTGGGCATCGCAAAAAAAATTAAAAGAATTGTAAAAGGAAGGGAAAACAAATTCACTTCCATTGTCAATCCTTATTGATTTAATTTTCTTATGAAATTGAGTTTCAACTATTTTATGAAAGTTGAGCATATGGAATTTGAATTCAGATTTGGACTTCATCATAAAAACCAAAGTACAACGGGTATGATCATCAACAATATAATAGTTAAAAGAGTATTTAAAACCAGAATAAGATGTAACTCTATAAGGAACCCAAACATCCATATGAACTAAATCAAAAGTATTAGTAGCATGAAAATCACTATTAGGAAAGGGTAACCTGTTTTTTTTTTTGCAAAGTGACAAAAATCACAAGGAGCAACTTTATTCATACTCCCTTTGTCCCTTAAAACTTTGCCAAGTTTGACCGGCACATGGATTAATAAAGTAAAAATTGCGTGGTTGAGGATTGTGTAGAGGAAAGAGAATAAACTGGAACCACTAATTGTTTACTTAAAGGTAAAAGTGACAAAGTTAGTGGGACATCCAAAAATGGAAAATTGACAAAGTTTTAAGGGACGAATGAAGTATTATGTTATGTATTACATTTTGCTAGTAACTGAATTTTATTGTAAGGTAAATGTCCTAGTCTAAAGTGCCAAATATCAGAAGCATGAACAGGTTGCTCAAAGCTAACAGAATTTTTTTTTACCCCGGAAGGTCAACCACCAAAATCATTGGGACATATATCGGGGGACATATGCCGAATTTTATTAAAATAATTTGAGTACAGCAGAGGGGGACCAAACCGAAACCTCCCAAAAAAGAAACAAAATAAAGTATCAAACAGCTTGGAATTTATTCCTAAATGAAGAAATACCAAAAAAATCAGCCGAAAAAGCTCTTTTAACTAAAATAGGTAGTTGACCCACTTCCTTATAAATTTTCATATGATCCATTTTTTCCTGGGCCAGATAGTGAGCAGCCCAATTAGCCCAATCAGAGCTAACAGAATTAACAACATAAGAGTGGTTCTGTTTTGGGAGAATAGATGTATCAGGATTATAATGGTATAATCCATTATGAATATCAGCATAACCAATCATTTTGCTGATGAGATGGTCCGTGGTCCGTGGTCCGTGGTCCTGCAAGATAGCACGATTTGAAGTAAAATGAACAAATATATTCTCATATAAGGCTAAGCTAGAAACTGAAATAAGATTGAAGTTAAAATGAGGAACATATAAAACATTATGTAAAGTAAGATGTTCATTTAGTTTGACATTACCCATATGAGAGGCAGAAATGAAATTCCCAGTAGGTAATTGAATATTTATAGATATAGGTTTGATATTAGAAGCATATAGAGATGCATCATATATCATATGATCAGAAGCACCAGTATCAAGAATCCATATGTGAGATTTTTTAATAGATGTAGAAACAGAATGCTTACCTAGAAAAGTAGAGTCATTAGTTGAAAACTGATGATCATCAAGGGAAGATTTCATGCCAGTATCAACAGAAGTAGTCATGGCAACATGTGCAGTCGTGCAGAAGCAGTTTTAACATTCTGGTTTTGTATGAATTGAAGGAACTTGTTATGGAGTTCAGGATCACAGAAGTCCATATCAGTAGGAGCAGGATCAGTAGAAACATTAGCCATGTTAGCATGAGGATTTTTGTTTGGAAGTTGATTAGGTTTTAAGCCAGGAGCATATCTATGTTTAGGGGAAAAACTTACTTGGCTTTTAAAACCTAGACGATTGTAGACTGGTAGGTCGTTTCATCATATTTGGGTGTGACCTAAACGGAACATTCAACTAAACCCACTAAAGGAGAAATCTCCTTTTTAGGCAAACTATGTGGCGAGGAGTCCTTGGACCATGTGATGCGCTCTTGTGATCGGCTACGCGAGGTATGACTGCAGGCGGGGATCCCAACGGGGCCGGTGCATGTCTCGGTGGAGGAGGCTGCGGCAGCAGCATGACGGTTCAAACATGGAGGCCAGGAGCAAGTTCTTTTCTATTCTTTGGAATATATGAAAAAAACGTAAACGGTTCAGACTTGGGGATGGATTGCATGGAGAATTTATCGAAGCTCAGGGAGTTTCGTGCTGGGTAGGCTGGAGTAATGTGGAGATCGAGATGGATGTACTCACCGTGGTTTAGGGGCTTAACCGAAGGGACAACTCCTCTTATCTTCACCTCATGGTTGATGACATCAGAAAATTTATAAAAACAAAGAATAATTTTAGTGTCTCTTTTTGTAAACGGTCTACGAACCATGTTCCTCACACTTTAGCAAAGAGCCAAGGACACATGTTATCTCAGATCAGAGGGTCAATTATGATGTAATTCCTCATTGTATTGTCAGCAAAGTGGCCAACGATTCATTATTTTAATATAATTTGAATTTTACCTCTATGTTAGTATAAAGCTTATATATTATATTAAAAAAGGATAAATGAATTATCACACTAAGAGCCTATTTGGTAACTCTGTTTTTCGACTTTTCAAGCTTACCAACCAACTCTTTAATCAAACACGTAACTTTTGATTTCGCGCGCTGAATTGTGTCATAAAAAGAAAGATAGAGTTGAGGTTACTTTTCTGGCTGTATTGGCTGAAATTATAGTAGATGTTTCATATAATTTTTTCTTTATTTTAATAATAAAATATATTCTGAATATAATTTATTCATAAATCAACATAATTAATCAATACAGTCACTTCAGACATAACTTCAAAAATTTCAACACAATTTCTCATTAGATTCAACCGATTTTAGTGTTACGCACCACTAATTTTTTTGTTTGCAAATATACATTTTACAAGATTTTTATTAAATTCACATTATACGCACCACTCCTACTTGTTTAAGATACATTTGTCACCCTTAGACTGCTGAGTCATCTCATTAGTATCGGAAATATCTTTTACATCCAGAGGCGGACCCACTAAGGGACCCACGGGGTCCAGGGACCCCATCGACCTCCAATAAAATACTTATATATATTATATAATGTATATAAAATTTTACACTATATGTATATATACACAAAACACTACCGTGATGCTTAAAAGATGGCGTGTAGGAATGGTTTCTCTGTCGCGTTAAAAGTGTGTCTTTTTGCCTGAGGTTCAGGGATCGACTTCCTTGCTGCTCGCTCTCACGGCCATTTTTTTATTCCTTATTGTAAACAGACAAGTTTATCAAAAAACGGAACATGAACTCTTGGATTTGAGTAGGGGTGGACTGAACCGGGCCGGTTCGGGCCTCGGGCCTGGGCCCGGCCGGGCCTCGGTTCAGAATATTGAGGCCCGAGCCCGAACCGGGGGTGGCCGGTTCCGGGCCAGAACGGGCCGGTTCCGGGCTGGGCCACCTGCCCTTTTTTTTTTTGGCTTCTTTATTTAATCCCCTACCCCTCTTTATCAACCCCAAACCCCCCCAAACCACCTCAAATGGACAAAATACCTAATCTAACCCAAAACATAAAAAATTTTCAAAAAAAAATAAAAAAAAAAATATTTCCGGCCCGGACCGGGCCCGAACCGGCCGGGCCGGTTCACCATATGGAAGGCCCGGGCCCGGAACCGGGAACCACCGGGCCGGTTCGACCCGAAACGCCGGTGGACCGGGCCACCGGGCCGGGCCGGTTGCTACAGTGGCCGGGCCGGTTCCAGGTCGGGCCGCCCGGCCCGAGTCCAGGCCTAGATTTGAGAACTCTTTTGGACCTAAACCGCTTGGCTTTCTTAATTCATTTTTTTTGGATGAATTATTAAAATTTATTTGAATGTTCACATTTAATTATTAATTTTTTTGTATTTATGAATGTTATATCAATATTTTGCGATTTGGGATGAAAAGATATTTTGATGGTGTGCACAAATTTTAAAAAACTCCAGAGCACCAAAGTTGTTCGGACGTTAATTCAAATGATTCACCATTATTATTATATGAAGAATTGGATCAAATAATTGTTGAATGTGAAATTAACTTGATTGATAATCATTGTTCTAAAATTTTTTAGGTGCTAGTCAGACAGTTGAATAGCGCTTAACGCCTAGATGGCCGACTAGGCCGATTTTTTGCCTGACTAGGCCGATTAGCCATTAACAATTAACGCCGACTAGGTTGATTAATCGGTTTGACTAGGTCGATTTTTAGAACGGTGCTGATAATCTACATGACCAAAATGTTGATTTTGAATATTTGGAAGTTGATCTTGTATTGAGAAAAAAATCAAATGTTCATCATAATGTTCAAGATGAATTCAACCACAAATGATTTCAAAATGATTTCACAAATGTGTTGCTAAAAATTCAACCGGAAAGGCAGTCAAATGATTTTTTGAAGATAACTGCGCAGTTAAACAACACAGTACATTTCGGAAAATCATTTGACTGCCTTCTCGGTTGAATTGTTAGCTGAAATTTGGTATGGGTAAACTAGACTTAACGAAGAAGATGCTCAAAAAATTTCATCAAAAAATTGAACCGTGAACCTCCCCAATTGGCAATGACCGGGCTGAACCTCTTACATATGGGGCTAATTGAACACTTTAAGTTAGTTCAGGGGTCTATTTGACCCTTTAGCCAAATAAAAATGATTATCCAATCAATAATTTGAACAGTGTTGGAAGTCAAATGTTATTTTCTATTAATACTTGTTGATTTCAATAGATTTGAAATTTTGAATATATACTCTTGTTTTAGTTGATGTATGAATACTATAAATGAAATAAGTATTGAATGATTGAGTAAAGTGAACACGATAAATTAATAAGTAATGTTGTAAGAATTTCTCATAAAACCACAAAAGTTATTTTTACTAATACATAAAAATATTCAGTTATTTATATGTTTATGCATTACGTATTTTAAAAATGCTTAGTTATTTACTCCGAATATGTTTATGCATTATTAAAAAATCACTTAGTTATTTATGTGTATGCTTTATTTCATTTACAATATGCATTACTTAATCTGGATTATTAGCTAATCATATCCCCAAATATCATGACATTCATAAATTTATCCTATACATTCACTTTTATTAAAAAAAGGGCTCAAACTTCAACTTTTTTCACAATTACACTTTCAATGGATGAATTAGTAAAAATCAAGAAGAAAATTATATTTATATATCATATTCTTCACTTTTTTCTAGTTTTAAGTTTACAATATTGTATTGATAAAGATGTATAATAAAAAAAAGCATAATTGTTGAAAAACATGAAGTTTGAGTCTTTTGTTTTTAAAAAATGAAAGTGTAGGATAGATTTGTGAATTTTTGATGATAGTTTGGGATAAAGTAAGCTAATAATCCTTTGTTTGACACCACTTTAGTCTGGCTTCGACCCTGACTACAATCTAGTATGGTGGTAACTTAAGTTTAAAACGTGAGCATAAGTTACTATTATTTCATTACTACTCTAGTCAGTAGTCATTAGTCATATTTTTGTAAACAATCTTTATTTTTGTCATAAATTTGTAATTGCTTCTATTTTATTTTTCATTGCATTTCCCAAGTCAAATTCAAATGTAAGAAAATAGTATTGCTTGAGATTTTCCTCTTTCCCTAGGATTTTATGAGTACCTAAGGGACACTAAAGGTATGTTTGGATCTTACAAAATGCTATAGGGAAAAGAAGATAAATGCTAAGAGAGTTATTTTCTTGTGCTTAGATTTAGCTCGGAAAATGCCAAGGGAAAAAATAAAATAGTGTTTTTTAAAAAACCTTGCACATGGTTATATTTCCTAGGTCTAAATACAATATAAATAACTAAATAAAATGAGTTTGAACCAAAAATAGTAATAACAAAAAAAAAATCTTACTTGTATTTCTGGTTTCTGGTCAGGCCAGACCTGATCCCCAGGTCCTCCCCAAAAATATTTTGTTTTGGTGGACCAAGGCTCGTTATAGCATATAGGTAACTGCAACTGCAAATACTTCAGCCGAAAGATAATTCATAAATTTCCACGCCAATTCCTTGAATTTCTTTATTTTTTGCCTCGGCTCGTCTGCCTCATTCTCTACCACTTGTCATCCCTTAGAAAATATGCAATAAAGGTGGACACGGTCCGGGACGGAACATGAATTGGATTGTCACGCTACTGAACCCGGTTTATAATAACGGTTCATAACGGGACGAGACAAAACTTTGACCTTTTGTGTCCATTTAAATCGGAACCGGGACAAAACGGAACTGTTCGAGACATCCTAACAAACTTTATTGAAAATTTTGCAATCCCAAAAGTGAAGCAAAGCTATTTGAAAAAAACTAGCGCAAAAAAACCCTTTACAAAAAATTGCTACTAGTTTAGAAAATAGTGAGAAAAAATGAAACTCACAATGACAAAACGTGTAGGAAAAAAAACTCTAACACAAAAAACTATCAAAAGATCTATAAAAAACTGATAAAAGAACACTATAAGAGGTGAAGTCTTTTGGGAGTAAAAATCAATTTCTTTTTTGTAGATAGATGATAGTTCGTAATTCATAGTTCATACTAGGTAGTTTAGAGTTTTTAGGTGTTCTGTTGCTAAACAACTATTGTAGTATTTTAATAATCATTGATTTTTGGGTTGTGAAAAAAGGATATTTATTTCTATTTGGATTACATAATGAGTTTTTTTTAAACTCAGCAATGCGTATTGTAAATTAAGACTTGGTTTGATCGCCCAAAAAGGTGTAGGAGATAAAATCTCGTGGAAATTAAAAGATGGGGATACAATGTACCATCAACGGTGTGCATATTGTATTGTACAGTTTTACACTTTTATGTAGCAATTTGGCATCTTGGTGCCCCAACTTCTTAGAAATGACAACATGACGTCAAAGTTCCTATATCCAATTTATTCTTATAAGGTACCTTGAAACACTTCCTTCGGTCATGCCAATCCCAAATGCACAATCATATCTTGTATTACACCAGAGTATTGCTTTCTTCTTTTCAACATAGTTCTACATTTTAATACATTTTAACTGCAGTTGTTTGACTTGTTTCTAAGTTACTCATATACCTAGTATTTGAAATTCAAGTAATTTAATAGACATCTGATGTGGTAGACTGGTAGGTGAGATAAGGGTGCCATGTAAGTTTGTAACTGTGCAAGATCAAAGTACAATGAAAAATACCATGTGTCATCATCATCATCATCAATGAGTATGGGAACCCAAATCTTAGAATATACTGAAATTTGAGTTCTTGAGCATGAACTGGGCAACTAACTCATTTTTCTGCTTTATACCAGTGTCTTGGCATGAGAAAGAAACTACTTTGTCATTGCAATTGCAAAATCTATTGTGATTCTACTCCATGTGAATCATGTTAGCTTTTTACAATTCTAACCTCAAAGATACAAAACATAGGAGCCAAAATCAAGAAAAAGATCATATATTTCCGAGTGTTAAACAGCCACTCTTTCCTTGAATTCTGCAATGTTAGCCAAGTACTCGTAAGCATTCTTGGAATTAACCCATCCAGAAAGGTCAGCAGCAAACAGACCATTCCTCTTCATGAAATTCTCTATGACTCTAAATAGATGTTCTATTACTACCACTTGTTTGAAATCTCGACCCGTTGTGACATGTATACCCAATACTTTGCCACAGACATCCACTAGTGTGCTACCCGAAAAGCCTCCGCGTGAACTAGCATCATGCATAACCAGCCGCATCACCTTATTGTTTTCCTTCTCCGGTGCATTTAAAATCCCCTGACTTACGTACAATCGAGGGATTCCTAAGGGATATGCAGCCATGTATACTTCCATACCGAGCATCAAGTCTGTACAATACTCAGGAATATAATTCGCGTCAGAGTTGCTAGCAATCTTACAAAATAGGAGCGCCACCTCCATTTTTGTTTCCTCATGGGTGGTAAGAAATTCTGCCGGATACACTTCTTCTGGCCCGAGATGAACTTGAACAAAGTCACGAGTCCCTAAGAAATAATCTTTCACAACATGCCCGCATGTTAACACTGTTATGGTGTTAGGACTGCTGTGAAGGATAGTTCATGTTCCATAAGAACCTAGAGTGTTTCCGTTGGAATTGCAGACAACTACACTAACCACCTTCGATGCATGTGCTGGCCAATTATTCATGGCTATGCAAACTAAAAATGTCAAAGCACAATAATACCAATAAAAAATCAGTTCAAATATATATTCAAGAACTAATGTGTAGTTATAGTTATTTAGTTTTTGTTGTTGATATTTATCTTCAAAGTTTTTGTCTTTAAATCTTCATTGAATCTTCATTTAATTATCTGTCCGGATAAGCTGTATTTAAATAGGTGTTCAGTTCATAAGCTTCACCCAAATGATTTCACTCAAATAGGTGCGTGGCTCTATTACCAGTTTTTATGTTTAGAAAAAATCAGTTCGATTACATGTGTCATGCAATTGCCTTGCACATGCATTCAAAATTACAACCAGGTCGTATTTATATATAAGAAAACTTAAGGAGATTGACATTCACAATCAAAGAGTTCCAATCCAAAAAACACCGGCAAGAAGGCACTGCCATTCGGCCCAACATTACCAATACCTTTAGAATTACATTACTATTACCTCACTAAGCTAGTACTATAATCTATACTCAGCTTTATTTAAAATTGTTTTGAGCACATCCCCAAATAACTATTTTTAAATCGGTTTTAATCACATCAATATGTTTCCATATAAAAACTCAAAGGAGGTAAATGATGAATACCTTTTGGTATCAGAAGAGTAAACAGGTTTCTGTGTAAGTAAATTCTGTTGAGAAACCCTATGCTTCAACTCGGAATACTCGCCTATGCTTCAACTTCGAACTCTTGAAACCCCATCTCTTCTGCTCTTCTCGCCTGTGCTCAATTCGGAATACTTCTGTCCTCATTTCCCACACACAGCTCGATTTTTGGTGGATTTGTGGCGGAACCGGGAAGTGGGCTGTGGGGCTGGTATTTTTCATTGTGTATTGGGTTATTGTGGGATTGGGGCAATGGGCTGTTTTTGTGGGATTGTGTATTGCACCCCATATTATTATCTAAATTGAACTTTGCACCTCATTTTTAAATAATTTTGTTTTTGCACCCCAACTCCATATGAAAAGACAAAAATGCCCTCAATCAGAAATATGTTGAAGGTCAACAAAATTGTTAATGGAGGGACATTTTTGTCTTTTCATATGAGGTTGGGGTGCAAAAACAAAGAGTTTTAAAAACAGGGTACAATGTCCAATTTAGATAATAATTTGAGGTGCAAACTCAAATTACCCCTTGTTTTTTACCCAGAAGGCAAAATTATAAGTAAATGTTAATATCTGTATCGTATCAATCACGGTATTTCGGAATACCAAAATTTTTATACGGTACATACAGATCCGAACTGACATAGTTCGGTACGGTAACATACCTCACCAAAATTTACGCCAAAGAAAAATTTCGGTAAAATTGGTACTACAATTTTATATATATTTTTATTAGTATATATATTTTAATGTATATTAACTTACTTACTCCCTCCGTCTCTTTAAAATGTTCTCATTCACTATTCATTGGTCAACTTAGGTCACTCCTAATCTTTTACTTTATATATCAAATTTTTATCAAATTGAACTTTTTTGATCAGGCTTTGTAGCGGTTTTAATGTAGTTTCTGAATATGTAAATTTTATTTACTAAAATAAGCCGAGTGTGAACAGGGATCGAGTTGCTTTATCGTCAGTCAAACATCGTAAACGGAACGGGAACATCCCAACGGGACGGAAGTAGTATTTTTTATTTACTAAAATTTGCAGATTGGTATGCATATGTTTATTTATGTTTTAAACTCAACTTTTGGGGTTTGAAATGACGGTAAACATATTTATATTTCTTGTAAATTCAAACGTTGAATGTTTTTTTGGAAAAAATTTAATAGTGATTTGTAAGATTTATTTTAAACAGGAACCGTTAAATGACAAGAACCGGACCGTTAAGAATGGTTCGGTTCTATATTGTTTCTAGAAAAATTTTAAAGAATCGAACCGTTATTAAGATTTGATATTTTTCAAACGGTTCCATCTATTTTGCTTTGGAACCGAACCGGTCACAGACCTAACTACAATAAGAGGCTGGTGAAATTTTGGATATGTATACAACACACTTGCCCATTTTTTTCAAAAGCTTGACTATAATGTACTTTTTCATTTTTATAATAATTCCTAATGGGCCTTGCCCACCTTGGCCCCTCCCCCCGCCACTGATTGCCACAACCATGAAAACAGTTCTAAAACTCGCTAGGTGCTAGTTGAGCCACAGAGGGCTGCCTAGCGCCTAGGCGGCTAGGCCGACTAGTCAGCGACTATGGAACATGGATTTCTGTGCCTCCAATCAGTCATTCACTCATGTTTATCAATGTATGTAGTTATTAATAACAAAACCTCATGGAATATTATACAAATCACCTTCCATAATTAATGATTTGATACTATAAAACAATGTGAGCTTCTATTAAACAACTAAACAAACAATGAACCTAACAAGTTCAAGAATAGATCATCATCCCAACTAACATAAAGGGTAAACATAAGCTCACAAGTTCAGGCAACTAAGCAAGGATTCAAAATGTAAATCAGAAATTTAGAATAAGAGGTAACACAGTGTGGAAGGGTGATGTGGATATTATGATAACAGCGGATCACCCAAACTACGTGAATTGTACGATGAGTATGACAGCTAAAGAAGAGACCTGACAGCTTACATGCTATTATGCCTTTCGAGAGACCAGCCGATGACGGGCTACTTGGGAAATGCTACGGGTCCCGGCCGAAAACAACACCTTACCATGGATGGTGGTTGAAGATTTCAATGATATTTTATATGATTTGGAGAAGGGTAGAATCCCTCATCCTATCTGGAGGCTGCGAGGTTTTCGAGAGGCCATTTTGGTCAGTGGGATAAGAGATTTTCCTTTTGACTGGTATCAGTGGACATGAGAGTGTGGCAAGGGTTCCCCGAATTGGGTGAAGAAAAATTAGATCGAATACTGATCTATGACGATTGGTGGAACAAATTGATGGAGGCTCAGGCAACATCAATTAAGGCACCAATTAGTGATAAAGGTCCTCCTGATAGTTCATGGGAGATATCCAAGGAGATTTAAGTTCAAGAATAACTGGTTCAAGGAAGAATAGTTATAAAGATGGTGGCTAGCAGTTATAGTGCCAGCACACATATGACGGTTAGTGATAGAATTCTATTTTGTGGGATAGAATTGCTTTGTTGGGATAGTTATCGCTCTAAATGTTTAAAGCATCAAATTCAAGCTTTTAAGAAATGTTTAGCATGGTTAAGGGGCCAGAATGATGGGAGTAGTACGACTGAATTTATTTGCATGTGTATGATGCTACATTCATTAATGGAGAAAGAAAATCAGTATTGGGGGTAGAAAGCTAAAGAATTCTGGTTAAAGGAAGTGGATATTAATTCCAATTTTTCCACAATGCGGTTACGGTTAAACAGAGAAGAAGAAGTAACAGGATGATGGGCTTGAGGATGACGGGTGGGTTGTGGATTAGAGACAGGGGGAAATGGAGTCTATGGTGAAAGAGTATTTTTCAAACCTCTTTCTACAGGAGGATGACAGACAACATGTGGTCGATATTGGGGGATTTCCACAGGTCTGAAGAGAATAGAAGGCTGCTTCGAGCTATTCATCCGAAGGAGGTCAATGCAGCTATTTTTGAAATGCACACTGGCTGAAGAGATAGAAGGCTGCTTTGAGCTATTAATTCGGAGGAGGTCAATGCGGCTATTTTTAACATGCACCCTGAGAAAGCTCCTAGTTCAGATGACATGAATCCAGCTTTCTTCCAGGGAACCGTTTAAGGATTTTTGTTGTCAATTGCTGGGAATTCTGAGAGGAGGTCAGAATTGGTATCCAGGGTTGCCGGCTTTGACTAGAAAAATAAAATAGCTATTCTGGGATATCTCCGTGACAGAGTCTTCAGTAGGATCAAAAGTTGGAATACTTGTTTTCTGTCAAGGGAAAGTCGAGCGGTGCTGCTAAGGAATGTCAATCAGGCTATGCCCATGTATGAGATGAATATCTTTTTACTACCAAAAGAGTTGTGATAATAATTAAAAATTGTTTGATCAGAAAATGGAACGGCTTATGCAAACCAAACGAAGTAGGAGGGTTGGGTTTCAGGAGGTTGAGGGAATTTAATTTGACTATTTTAGCCAAGCACGGGTGGCGGCTGATTACAGAAAAAGATACTCTCATGAGCCGTGTTCCAACAGGACGGAGGGAGTAAGTAAGTTAATATACATTAAAATATATATACTAATAAAAATATATATAAAATTGTAGTACCAATTTTACCGAAATTTTTCTTTGGCGTAAATTTTGGTGAGGTATGTTACCGTACCGAACTATTTCAGTACGGATCTGTATGTACCGTATAAAAATTTTGGTATACAGAAATACTGTGATTGATACGATACAAATATTAACATTTACTTATAATTTTGCCTTTTGGGTAAAAAACAAGGGGTAATTTGAGTTTGCACCCCAAATTATTATCTAAATTGGACATTGTACCCTGTTTTTAAAACTCTTTGTTTTTGCACCCCAACCTCATATGAAAAGATAAAAATGTCCCTCCATTAACAATTTTGTTGACCTTCAACATATTTCTGATTGAGGGCATTTTTGTCTTTTCATATGGAGTTGGGGTGCAAAAACAAAATTATTTAAAAACGAGGTGCAAAGTTCAATTTAGATAATAATATGGGGTGCAAGACACAATCCCACAAAAACAGCCCATTGCCCCAATCCCACAATAACCCAATACACAATGAAAAATACCAGCCCCACAGCCCACTGCCCGGTTCCGCCACAATCCAAAAAAAATCGAGCTGTGTGCGGAAATGAGGACGGAAGTATTCCAATTGAGCATAGGCGAGAAGAGCAGAAGAGATGGGGTTTCAAGAGTTCGGAGTTGAAGCATAGACGAGTATTCCGAGTTGAAGCATAGGATTTCTCAACAGCATTTACTTACACAGAAACTCAAGCCATCTGCTGTTTACTCTTCTGATACCAAAAGGTATTCATCATTTACCACCTTTGAGTTCTTATATGGAAACATATTGATGTGATTATAACTGATTTAAAAATAGTTATTTGGGAATGTGCTCAAAACAATTTTAAATAGAGCTGGGTATAGATTATAGTACTAGCTTAGTGAGGTAATAGTAATGTAATTCTAAAGGTATTGGTAATGTTGGACCGAATGGCAGTGCCTTCTTGCCGGTGTTTTCCGGATTGGGACTCTTTGATTGTGAATGTCAATATCCTTAAATTTTCTTGTATATACATACGACATGGATGTAATTTTGAATGCATGTGTAAGGCATTTGCATTACACATGTAATTGAACTGATTTTTTGTAAACCTAAAAACTGGTAATAGAGCCACACACCTATTTGAGTGAAATCATTTGGGTGAAGCTTGTGAACTGAACACCTATTTAAATACAGCTTATCCGGACAGATAATTGAATGAAGATTTAAAGACAAAAACTTTGAAAAGATAAATATCAACAACAAAAACTAAATAATCATAACTACACATTAGTTCTTGAATGGATGAAGTATTGTTTGCTTGCCGGAATGAAAAAAGTTCCATATTTTAGATTTCGGGTTGCTTCATATATATTGCTTTAATCAATTTTATGCTATAATTGCTTTCAAATATGTATTTGAACTGATTTTTTGTTGGTATTATTGTGCTTTGACATTTTTAGTTTGCATAGCCATGAATAATTGGGCAGCACATGCATCAAAGGTGGTTAGTGTAGTTGTCTTGCAATTCCAACGGAAACACTCTAGGTTCTTATGGAACATGAATTATCCTTTACAACAGCCCTAACAGCATAACAGTGTTCACATGCGGGCATGTTGTGAAAGATTATTTCTTAGGGACTCGTGACCTTGTCAAGTTCATCTCGGGCCAGAAGAAGTGTATCCGGCAAAATTTCTTACTACACATGAGGAAGCAAAAATGGAGGTGGCGCTCCTATTTTGTAAGATTGCTAGCAACTCTGCCGCGAAGTATATTCCTGAGTATTGTACAAACTTGATGCTCAGTATGGAAGTATGCATGGCTGCATATCCCTTAGGAATCCCTCGATTGTACGTAACTCAGGGGATTTTAAATGCACCGGAGAAGTAAAACGATAAAGGGATGCGGCTGGTTATGCATGATGCTAGTTCACGCGGAGGCTTTTCGGGTAGCACGCTAGTGGATGTCTGTGGCAGAGTATTGGGTATACATGTCACAACGGATCGAGATTTCAAACAAGCATTAGTAATAGAACATCTATTTAGAGTCATAGAGAATTTCATGAAGAGGAATGGTTTGGTTGCTGCTGATCTTTCTGGATGGGTTAATTCCAAGAATGCATACAAGTACTTGGCTAACATTGCAGAATTCAAGGAAAGGGTGGCTGTTTAACACTCGGAAATATATGATCTTTTTCTTGATTTTGGCTCCTATGTTTTGTATCTTTGAGGTTAAAATTGTAAAAAGCTAACATGATTCACATGGAGTAGAATCACAGCAGATTTTGCAATTGAAATGACACAGCAGTTTCTTTCTCATGCCAAGACACTTGTATAAAGCAGAAAAATGAGTTAGTTGCCCAGTTCATGCTCAAGAACTCAAATTTCATTATATTCTAAGATTTGGGTTCCCATACTCATTGATGATGATGATGATGATGGAAATAGAAAAATTACAAATCTTTTTGGGCCAAGTTTTGTAATGCAAGAATATGCAATATTAACGGTAAAGGGGAAAGACTCACTGATCTGGATGCTAATGGTAAAATTTTCTGGTTACCAAACACGGATGGATACTTCTCTTTTAACTCTGCTTTTCAGGAAGTCAGATGGAGAAGATGAGCAACGTTCACCTCACGCCAAATCTGGGACAGAAATCAAACAAATCAGATTAATCTTTTTCAGTGGAAATTAAATAATAAAATGCTCCCAATTTCAGAAAATTTGGAAGGTTTACTGTGATCTGATTTAGGGGAAGCAGCAGCGTGTGATTTCCACGACCGAATTGATATTCAGAATAAAGAAATTTACTCAAGACTGGTTTGGAGCAATCAAGAAGTGAAAATCAAACGAAGGCTATGATCTTTTACTCTCAGAAAACATGATACCTATTGGTTTTGAGAAGATCAAAAGAAAGAAAACCTTAGTCAGATGGATGAAGCCAGTCCAATACCTGAAGATGAATGTCGATTCATCCTTTTCAGCTGGGCAATCGTCTGGGGGAGCTCTTATGCGTAATTCTCAGGGTCAAATTATCTCTGGGTCTGAGTTTTCGTCTGCAAGCTGACTCTCCTCTTGATGCTGAACTCAACGCTTGCAACACGGCAATCAGATGGGCGACAGAGAGGGGGTATTCGAACTTCATCCTCGAGACGGATTCTCTCAGAGCAATTTGCTTACTACAGAATGAAGGATATGAGGGGAGATGGAAGGGTCTACTGGGAAGATATTCGGACAGGGTGTGATAGCGGTGGAATCCTTATCCAATAGTTCTTGGTGTAGACTCTGGTACACCTTGGGTACACCCATTTATTTGCCCTTCTCACAGACAGGCAGAAAACACACAAATACAGACACTTTCTTTGAAAGTGTCGGTGTGAGTAAAATTAGTTTCCAGATTTGTCAGGTTGGTTGCACGGAAACCGATGTCGGTGTACACAAACATTAGTTGTCTGTGTAAACAAAAAAGTGTCGGTGTGAAAAATTAATTGGAAACCAAGTGTCGGTGTACACCGACGTTAGTAGTCTGTGTAGACAAAAAAGTGTCGGTGCGAAAAAATTAGTTGGAAAACAAGTGTCGGTGTACACAGACGATAGTTGTCTACTTGTCTGTGTAGACAAAAAAGTGTCGGTGTGAAAAAATTAGTTGGAAAACAAGTGTCGGTGTACACAGACGTTAGTTGTCTTGTATAAAAAAGTGTCTATATATATTCAATTTTCGTCTGTGTACGTAGACACTATAACAAACCAGTGTCTGTGTAGATAAAATGTAAAAAGTGAGAAGGAAAGAAAAAGAAGAAGATGGTGATGAAGATAATGAAGATGATTAGGGTGAACAAAACCTCAAAAAGAGAAGGAAAGAAGAAGGAGAAGGAGAAGGAGAAAGGAAGAAAGCAAGAAAGAATGAAGAAAGAACAAGATGTTGAAGAAGAAGAAAAGGAAAGAAGAAAGAGAGGAGGGAGGGGAACTGTATGATTCAAATGGGAGAGGAGTGGAGAGAAGAGAGTGTGAGAGAGGGGAGAGAAAAAAGTTGGGAGGGGAGAAATAAGGAATTGGGGATTATATAGGGTGTACACCAAGGTGTAACCCAAGGTGTACCAAAAGAATTTTTCTTTCAATATTTCACATCCCACTTTATCCCTCTTTTGAGCTCTTATGCCTCTATTTGTGTCAGTCTCCACTATATTCAAAGTGGTCCCTGCAGTCATATATTAATATATTCCCTTATCTACACTTTTTGCATTAATTAATCCACTAATGGTATTTTACAACCTACATACACATAACGTGCCTATTTTCTCACTTTTTTGGCCCTTGCTATCCACCCGCAAACCATATATGTAGACAAGTGCAAACCTCTGCACTTTCTTACTTTAGCTATTACTCCCTCCGGTTCATAATCTCCTTGACACTTTGAATTCACAAGTTTTAAGAAAATAAATTTGACTTTACTGTAGAGTACACTGTTTGGACACTGTTTGGCACTGTTTGGACACTGTTTGACACTGTTTTATGTAGATTTGTTTGCCAAATAAGGCAAATAAGGAAGTGTAAAGAAGAATGTGATACTGACAAAAAAGGAAAGTGTAAAGAAGAATGTGAACTGGAGGGAGTAATAATTAATTGGAGAGGGGAAGGTGGGATTATCGGTGTATCACCGATTTCAGCAAGATAAGTTTTTCTTAAAATTGGTAAGTGAAATGAAAGACAATTATACCCCCTCTATTGCGCCTCCTATCAATTTTGTAATCAGAGAAATAATGTCCTCACATTCAATGCACCGTATCACGGAGCAAATTTTATGTCCACCGTACGATTGCTTGATTTCTACATCCACGATTCCTTCCCATTTTTTATGTTAGAGGGTGTTTTTACATGATCTCTACCCTATAGATAGCGCCCAATAGACCGACGACTTGGTGATAGGGTTGTAACAACCTGCGGATTGCCAACGGTCCGATTACAAACGGTCCGAAATCTTCTTTAGTCTGTGGATTTTGTTTCTGAGAGAGAAAGAAAGAAGCGCGCAAGCAGAAATACAAATGGGTTTTAGATTCCTCCAAGATAGCTGAGCGGGAGACCTGACCACGACTTGTAACAACCTGCGGATTGCCAACCTAGCAACGCTAGTCAGTCAAATGATGTTTTTATAGTACCTCCATTCTTAAATAAATGCAACATATGGAATTTTACACTATTCACGTGTTCTACTTTGACTATGTTTTATTTATTAATGTATGAATATATTTTTATGAAAAAAATATTGTTAAATTTGTCTCATTGTAAATTTTCAATATCTAATTTTTTTAATTTTTTTACTAATATAAATTTATATATATTAATGGTCAAAGCTGTGTCTCGGCAAGTGTGAAATGTTGACCGTTGCAATTATTTAAGAACGGAGGAAGTGTTTGATTTGAACCGGTGTTACATACTACTCCGTCCCAATTTAATTTACAAATTTGATTTTTCTTGATCAAATAATTTCATTTTATTAGCTTAATTAAGATGTCAATTTTTAATTATATTCTAATTTAGAGTTTACAACTTTGAATAGATTTTAATGTAGACTCTGAATATGTATATTTTAATTATTGAAATTCGAATTAATTATTGATAGCAAGTTTTGACTTTTATTATTGGTTGACCAAAAAATGTTGTCTTTGCAAAACAATTTTATTATTATGTGTATTTACTAATAAAAACAATTATGAGAAAGCACCAAAGTATGGAGAAACAAATTAAACGTAATACAATTAGTAGTGGCTAATGTACAATGCGGTAAAGATCTGAATGAGATGCATACTTATAAAACATAAAACAATAATATTCATGAACAAAAATTGTTAACAGTGTACATTCACCGTGGTAGAAACAAAGAAAATACAGTAACGACTAAAAATCATGATCTTAAACAATCCTATTTATTCAAGGGACAATTCCGGCTATCAAGATGGCCCATCTCATTGCACGAACAACAAAGTTTCTAGGGAAGTTTAGATTCTTGAATATAAACTTCTTTGGAACTTAATCCTATGTCCTGAACATTTACTCCTGGCTTGTTGTGGAGGATGACCCGTGATGACAGAAGGCGTAGTTGAACCATAAAAGGACTCAATTACTGACTGCTTCGTGGATGTCTGTTCAACCCCGCTCTGAAGGGAAAGAAGAATCTCTTTCTGAGCTTTAATAATGCCTGAAAACTGCTTCGAGTGACTTGGGTTATTTTCAACGAGAGCCATACATGCATATATATCAGACCATACAGAGTTCACACACATCTTATTATCCTCCAATGTGACACTTTGTTGAAATAGAAATTTCAAACATTGGTTTGATTAAACCCTTCTTACACCAATGAGTATTAACAAAATGGTTTGGAACTTTTCAACTTTTAAAACAAGATGTGACGACAAATCAAAGTTATCCGTTTAAAAAAATTACAACTGCACTACTCCTTCATAAGTTCATATTTGACATTTCAAAATGAACTTTAAACACCATATTACGATCGTAAAAAATGTCATAGTCATACTCACTATCGAGGCCATCAACACTAGACATGTACAAACACAGGCTCGGCCCGAGATTTATCTAAAATTTCTACCCACTTTAATGGGCGGGCCCGGCCCGGATCAAACGGGCCTCCTCCCATGTCCATGCCCGCCCATACTAGCGGGCCGGGCAGTCCATCGGGCCGCCGGGCCCGGGAAAATTTAGCATTAGTTGATAGTATTTCTAAAATAAATCACAACATCTTAAAATCAATTAATAAGCTCAATAACATTAATCTGCCTTCATGACAGACACTAACTACTTTGAGCAAAACGTTTATCCAAAACAATACCGTTAATTTAAAGTCAAACCATAAATTGAAACAAAAATGTTCAAGCACTCTGAAAGACTTAAAAAGTCACCCATTACAATCACTTGAAATTTACTTAGCAAAACACAAATAATGATTTAGCTCTCAGGAGTTTCAAGAGTAGGACTAAGGAGCAAAACTTGACTTGTCAGGTTACTCAGGTACTTCATTCCACTGCCTCTTCATGCTACATGTGTAATATATTATATGTGTAATGTATTATATATTATTATATATATATATATATATTATATTTTTTCGGGCCGGGCTTTTCGGCCCGAACGGGCCTACAATTGAACCCATACCCGCCCACATTTTTATCGGGCTCAGGACGGGCCGGGCCGGTGGGCAAATATACATGTCTAGACCCGCCCATTTATATGGGCGGGCCGGGTGGGCCGGCCCGTGTTTGTACAGGTCTAATCAACACGTAAAACACGATAAGAAAAACACGTTGAACATATTTTCATTTCAAGATCATAAAAAACATAGAGCATGAAACATTATGAAGCCGCTTTTTCATAGATAATCCAGTCTTGAGAACCGGAATGTAAGACTCCATATCAGAATTCAGGATGTTTTCTTTTGGACTGTTTTCAGTCCCGGACCAGACCAGACTTCCGTAGTTATAAAATACACAGAAACCAGACGTTTACCAGACCAGTTCAGACCAGACCAGACTAGATCAGACCAGACCAGACCAGACCATACCAGCAAATTTCATTCCAAAAAAACATTCTCAATTTGTCATGATTGTGCCTCTGTGCATCCATTGCACTCTCAAACTTCAATAAAAATTCAACTAAATTGAAGTGTGGGTTAGTAAATTCTGGAAAAAAGGAATTCTGACTTTTCAGAGAATGATCTTATACAAAGTAAACTAGCCATAAAAGTATCTCTAAAATAAGAAGGAATCCCACATCTGCTCAACTCAAACATTTGAAAAAACAATAAATATCTAATAATTAATTTTTATTATAAAGGAAGTAATAATACACTAATTATGAAAATTAATTTTTAATACGGAGTTACGGACGACGGAGTACTTCTTATACGATGTATACTGTATTTATGTTCGAACTTGCCAGGTTGGCGGTCCCCAGGTTGTTACAAGTCGTCGTCAGGTCTCCCGCTCCCCTATCTTGGAGGAATCTACCCTAAATAAAACCCAATTTTCATTTCTGCTTGCGCGCTTCTACCTTTCTCTAATAAATCTCTCTCAGAAACAAAACCCAGAGACAGATGAAGAAAATTTCGGACCGTTTGTAATCGGACCGTTGGCAATCCGCAGGTTGTTACAAGTCCATCACAAGTCGTCTTCTGCGCGCTAGCTCTCTCTATATTGGAAATAGACCGTTGCCTCATCTTTAAAACCCCATTTCTCCCTTTCAGACAGATAGGCCGGCCGGAGTTCAAGATCAGAAATCTGGTTTTGAAGCTGACCGGAGCTCGTCGACGCACGCCCTTTTCCTGCCGGTAATTTTCGCAATCCATTCTTTTCTTGAATACCCTGTTAATGTTTTAGATGCTCAGTCCGACCCAAGAGTGCGCTTTGTGTTTATATGTTCTTGATCAATTCTATGAATTGATCGATTCGTGCATGCATATAAATAGGCGATATAGCTAGATTCTTGAATACCCTATTATTAAAATCAATATGAATTCTGAAAACAGGGTCTTCTGTCTTCTGATGAAAATATTGTTAATAACTTGCAGAAAGAAGGGAAATTTGTTAAAAGAGTCCTGTAACTTTGGCCAATAGCCGATATTGATCCTATAACTTTACATACTTGCAATATACATCCTTCAACTAATATATTTGTTCAATTTGAGGACATTGCCATCGTAAGTTAAATTTTGGCCGGAAAGTTACATGTCAATCTCCCGTTGTTGTAATCTTTTCCTAACGTTTGCAGCTGACTTGGATGTGGGCCCCTTTTATGACTTATTCCCAAACACTTCATTGTGCTCTGATCTCCCAAATCCCCCATTAGAACAATAAAAGCACAAAACCTAAGAGAAGAACGGAGGCTTCGTAATTCTTGGTCTGGCTTCTCCACATATGGAAGGAAGGTGAGTGTGTGTTCCTCTAAAGTGCAAATAATGGCTCAGGCAAGGATCTATGGAATATCATTGTGGTAAGAAGGCCGGTGTTTCAACTTCATAGACTGATATATGACGAGAGAAGGAGGTTCCATGTGTGCTCCAGAAACAGAGTAAGAACTCTAAACTTTTTAATTTTGTAGGTTTCGAATTTTGTTTGAAAAAATTAAATATTTTATATGTAGTATTACTTTGATATTAGAGAAAAAAAATCTAATGTTAAAGGTTCTAACAAGACATTGGAACAAGAATAACAGTTGATTAGCAAAACTAACGAGTTGTCTTTTACCTGGACCGTTTCTATGGTTACAAATGGAGGCTTTTAAAATTGATAAGTGTCAAGAATTTTTTTTTAAAAAAATAGCCTGAAGTGCAGTTTTTTATTTATGTTCATTTTTAAAATTTCGTATTTGGAATTTATAAGAAATAAATTGAAGATGTATTATCTACTACTCCGTATTCAGTTTAATCTAGCTATTTTTTTAATGTTTTATGAATCAGAGTGTTTTCTTTATGTGCAGGATGTTTTAAAATAAGGAGTGTTTGAGAGGGAACCAAAAACAGGGTCTCAAGTCCAGGTCAACTAGGCCATATGAAAAAAATATGAACAATTGACGCTGATGTGTTAATTTTCGGCGGAATTATTACTTTCCGACATAAATGTCCTGAAATTGGACAAATATGTTAATTAGAGGACGTATTATGCAAGTAAATGAAGTTAGAGGACCAATATCAGGCACCACCAAAAGTTACGGGACTAATTTTACAAATTTCCCCAGAAAGAAAACCCAGAAGGTTTTGAAGGCGATCGAAGCTAGTCACCGTCCACACTCTGACACAAGCCTTGTTCCTGCAGTAATTCTCGCAATCCAATCTTTTCATGAATACCCTCTTAAATTTTTAGATGCGCAATCTTGTTTCCTATGATCGATCCATGCATGCTTATAACTAGATTTTTTACTCTGAGCAGTTGTTTTTGGGTCTTGGGAGCATTTGCTCCGGAATCTTGACAAACTTTGCGTCTCTTTGGGTTCCACTTACATATTGCAGCGAGTTTTCATATACTGTAAAGTTGTTCCCATAATTCCCATATTTTGACTTTATCCACAACGTTGGATTTACTTTTGCTGGGCTTCGTTTCAAATGGGTGTTTTTATTTTGAGGGACAAATGGGTGTTTTTTCTGTTGGCTATTATTCATACTCCTTTATC